TTTGTATTGCAAATGAAAAATTTGAATTTGAATTTAATTATTTTATCAAAATCGTAATGTTATTACTTTTAATTACGTATAATTTCATTGAAATTATTTATCGTGAAAATTAATCTAGAGTTGCAAATTATTGATAATATGATATATTCAAAGTTATTAAATAGGCTATAAAAAAGAAAAAATTATAACGCGTATTTATAACTTGTAAATATCTTGATAAATATCTAATAAACGATATTCTATAATTTTTATAGAAAATTTTCATCCAAATATCAATTTGTTCAGAGTTTTTAATATCTAGGGTACCCTAGGATTCGATTTAGGGTTAAACTGCTCGCGGCCATTTTCTCGTTCGATTCGATAAATTTTCCATTTGCGTCACTGTTCCAGGGAAAGTCGATTGAACGGGTCGACAAAAAAAGAAAAAACGATTTCGCAAGAAAACGGAAGGTTGAAATCGATCCGTAATGGCTGGATAATTCCTCGTATCACGAGTAATTACCGTTTACGCGATCTCATGATGTTGTTACGATAACAACGCGAGTCGTCCATTTTTCATTAACTATCGGTGTACGAAGCTGGAAGCTGTCAATGTCAGTCATCTTGACTTGAGCTTTCTGAAAATTGAAAAAAACTGATACACGTCTTTGGAGGAAGAAGCACGTCGAGGGAAAAAAGATAAAAGAGTAAGAGAGTTAATGTACGCTTGTCAGAATTTCCCTCGGTGGCCAAGAAAGGAAGTAAAAAAAATGTTACGCGTAGTCTTTAATCTGTTCGCATTTCAAAGTTATATTATGCTTCATTCTAACTTGAATGACAGATAGATTTTTTTTTGACGAGTGATTATGATTAGCTCTCTCTTGCAAAAATTTTTTCTGTTTAGTCATAGAATATAGAGAATAAAAAATATAATTTCTTAAATATATTGCACTTTTTATTATTTACATTCTCTTCTTGTAGTATCATTACATTATTATTAGTAAAAAAAAATAAAAAATATTTTAATTTAATTAATATCCAAAATAAAAGTAGATTACGAATAGCAGCAGATTAATTTGAATTACATTAATTTAACAATATTATCAATTTATTGATTTCAATTTTTATTAATATTTAAAAATCCAGCTATAAAAATATAAAAATATATTCGTTATTCATATTTTTTTCATTTATCTAGATATAATTAAAATATTTCCAACATAAAATTCTCAATATTATTTTTTAATATCGTTAATTATCTTCGTGTATCGCATCTATGATGACCAGTCTTGCCAACTAACTAAGCTTTTCCTATGAACCTTTCTAAACGATTGCATCGATAACAAACCGTGTTCCGTATCGTTAGGTTAGGTTCTATTACGTAAGCCGTAGCGGCCTTGCATTATAGCATCATAACCATTCATCCTGTCCGCTCACCTGCAATGCGCCATACTATTTGTTCCGAGCGATACGTGAGCCACATTGTACCGTCTAAATTCTGGAAACTATTACTTCATTCTTAATGACTCTTCAATAATATCTAGGAATTTATTTAGGAATTTTTTTTTTTAGATACCTAGTTATTAAATTATATCATGTTAGCATAATAAATGTTAATAGATCACTAGAAATTTAGGGATATTACTAAAATTTATTTAATAATATTTAACAGAGTTTAGGAAGTTTAATTTATAAATTTTACACATGATTTTTTATTATATTTTGTTTCCTTTTCACTTAATTATCAAAATAAACGAATAATGATTATTTATTAATAATTGATTATTAATAATACTTTTAAAAATCAAGAATCACTGTTCTCTTTATTTTTTATTCTATCCACAAGTTGTTTTGAACGAATGTATCTAAATGGAAAACATATAGCCTAGAAAGTTACTGAGTCGTAGACAATCGATGTGTCGCAAAAGCAAATCAGAAAATGTCGGCAATACGAGCGATGTTACTGAAATCGATCCACTCGTCCGAACGAAATTCATCAAGCCAATGAATCTTCGCTTGAGAATTGTTTCCAAATCTAAGCCATGATTAACTGCTATTTAAACTACAGTTTGTTTCCAAATCTGGGTATAATTAACTACTATTAACCACACAATATCAATCACCAATGATGTGGTAATAATGCTGTAAAACTTCGATAGAATTGTTCAGAAATATGTACGAATCCCGATAGATGATGGATTTGCATAATTCAATAATCACTATGGGGTGAGCACATCCTGTCTTTGAAACGTCGAAGCAGATCCGCGTGAAATAAAATATTTGGAACAGAAGAAACGATGTGACGCAAAGCGACCACGTCAACAGGAACACCATGTACGCTCCTAGAATTCCAATCAACTGTTTGCGACAATGATTTATCGTCCATCATTTCCTTTCCCTCGATTATTGTATCTCACTTTCATATATTTCTCGTTTCAACAATGACTCTTCCTGTTTTATACACGTACATAGTTAATTATACAATTGTTATTCGTTATATATTTCTGAATTCTTCTTTTTGAACATATTCTGTGGAGAGGATGCAATGATGATTATATGTATTTAGCGTGGAAAATTTGCACGAAAAATGAATTGGAACATCGTTTTTATCTTATATATTCTTCTTTTTATAGCACGTTTCAAAATAATTGGTTGTCAAAGGCACACCCCTTCGCTCCAATCGATGCTTCAAGCGCCATCTTTTATGGTTTAAATAGCTTGTAATTGATACTTGACATTTCTAAAGTAAATGTCGTATTTCTACAGTATTTAGAAAGTGTTCTTTATACAATGTATAAAATGATATCCAGGAATAATCTCAGAAAGTAAAAATAATAATAATAATAATAAAATTTTAAAAATCGAACTTTATTTGAATTTAAAATTAGATTTTTTAAGTTTTCCATACCTCAATGTTGATATCTTCCAACTCTACCAATTGGTTGATCATCAAATTCAACATCGTACATCACATAACCTCTTTCTTCCGATCACAAAATATCCATGTTCCATGCCAGCCTAATCGATTACTCGTTCCATTCTAGTGATATTCGTGATTGGTAAAAATTTCAGAAAATTATACCGGTACGCATTTGTGTAAAACTGGTGTAAATCATCGGCGGGGAAAAATGTTGTCATAGACAGACGGGAATAGTTAGAGAGGAGAGGTTGGTGGCGCGCTCAAGAAAGTATGCGAGCGCCACCACGTTCAGAAATCCCGAACCGTGTGGATGCAACGATCCAGCGATAAATAATTTTCACCGTTCTACTGTCAAAAGCTCGCCTGTGGGTGTTCGCACGTAAATGATATATATTTATCCCTGGCTGATTCGCCATGGCGATAACAGGAGCGTAATCAATAACGCGGGCGACTTAATACGTCGGGAGAAGAAAGTTTGGTTGCGGTTGGAATAACGGGGTCTCTCTCTCCAAGTGATTCGAGATAATTGGTTCGAGTCTTTTCTGACATTTTTTTTTTTTTTCTTCCACTGTCAGGAATTTCTTTTATCTTCGGAATCGTATATTTAGTTCGAAAATTAATGGATGAATTATTAGTAGTTCGATCTAGTAATTTTTTTTTCTAGTTATTTTTGTTTTACAAATTAGAAGAGTTTTCTTTTGTATATTTTAATAAATACGAGATTTCTATATTCGCAAATGTTTTTACGAATATTTTAGGATTTCGAATTTTAGGATTTAAGTGGATACGTGTTCAATACGATTTATGTATTTTAATTAAAAATCGTATAATTATTATCGAAAAGATAAGAAAAAGATTTTTCATAAAGCAAAATTGTTATCCAAATATGTGAATAATACGTTTTCAAGCATCATTTCCTCGAATAATAATTCAACTGTGTGTGGAAATATTTTTAGAATATAGAAGCAGGAAGTATGCGTATTGCCCGCGTCATGGCGGGTGAGAACAAAATTAACAACCGGTTAAAAGTCGATAAAATTTAAATCCTTTAGAGGGATCTCGCAGTGCCGCGAGCATATTTGACGGACGGACAGATAGGGCGCAGTATTGCTTTCACTTCGCCGCATTGAAAATCCAGAAAAATGTAGACATACCCAAAGGCGAATGGTGAAGACCATTATCCAACGGGAACTGATATCATTTTTATTTGGATTATTGTTCAAAATATTCGTTTTGTTTAGCTAATTATTGTAAAATATCGTGCATATAAATATTAGAAAGGAAGATTCTTGAATATGAAAAAAAGATATTTAAAATAATGTATTAAAACGAGAAGGTAATGTATAAAAATGTATTTAGTGCTTCCTAGATATTCTAGGGAATTTTGATTGTTAAAGGAAATTTTGTTAACTATATTTTTATTTCTTTAAAAGGCTTTATTGCTTTAATGTTTAATTACTTTCAGAGGGAAATTTGTTCTGAAATACAAGAAAATATTCAGGGAAATTCAATAGCGAAAAGATTAAATCGATTGTTTTCACAAGATATTTACTTAATCTAGTTACTTTCCAACCTTTTGTATCTCTTAACATCGCGTTTAAGATTAGAATCTAAATCTATCCTACATCGAAATACATGTTGTAAGAAAACGTGAAATATCAGTTGATCCGATTATGTTTGTAATCTAATTAGTCGAGTATTTCGAAATCTCTACGAACGATCGCTTGAAATTCCATAACAATGATTTAACACACATCTGGCGGATAGATTTTCTCATAATTGTTCGTAATAATTGTACACCAAAAAGAAAAAAAAAAAAATCTATATGTTAAATATTCCTTTTTATTTTTTTTTAAAATTCAAAATTTCAAAGAAATATTATTCTCACATATCTTTTCGTTATTCAACATTTTTTATATTTAATTTTACACGATAAAATTTTTTTTTTATAGCGTTTTAATACGAGTTTTTCTATATTCATTTAACTTAATCCATCCGTGTAATAGATATTTAAAAAGGTAAAAATTGTTAAATAATTTTTAAATATCTTTCCCCAAATACATTTTTAATAACACGTTGCTATTTTTTTTTTATATTTCAGGTTCGTGATTTGGTGGAAAGGTGCACATGCCCCACTCAATTCCCAATGATTCGCGTTTCCGAAGGGAAATATCGAATCGGAGACACGAAGGTGTTGATTTTTGTACGAATCCTTCGAAGCCACGTTATGGTTCGAGTAGGTGGAGGTTGGGACACCCTTAGCCATTATTTGGACAAACACGATCCATGTCGATGCAGAACTTGTAAGTGAATCTTTCAATATTTCGCGCAGAATCTCTTCTCTTTATTTATTTATTTTTTTTTTCTCGTATTTTTTTTTTCTTTCTTTTTTTTTTTTTTTTTTCTTTTTTTCTGATGTCGCTAATCGTGAAACATATAAAAAAATATGGGACATCGGTGACAGTTTAAACAAGCATGAGCTCATTGTCGTCGAAAATAAAGATGATGATCGGAGATTTTATTACGAGTTTGTTAAAGATGGACCGTTCTTTCCTTATTTTTTTTTTTTTTTTGTGGTTGGAAATTTACGAATTGTCAGATTTGTATTTGTTTTGGAAATAAAAAAATATGATGATTCAAGGAGTTTCTTTTTTTTTTTTTCGTCGAAAATAAATAGTAAGATTGATGATTTAATAAGCCTTTAATTTTAAATTAACGATAAATGGCAAATATTTATGTTTCTACGAATGTAAGATGTTTCTTTTATTAACTTATAATTTTAATTTAATTTTATAAAGAACTTATTTTTTCGTAATTGAGTATAGTTTCTTTTCCAATTGAAATTTTTATTAAATATTTCTTTGAGTGTTTCTTACAATATTTTTATATTTCATCTTAATATCCAAGATTGCAGTCCTCTCAATCATCTTTTTTATTATAAAATATATCCCATGAATCTCTTCATTACATCACAGATTAAATCCTTTCGACCTAAATCACCACAAAAGAACAAAATAACAAAAAAAGAAGTACTTCTATTCATTTTCCAATTCATTCTTATCCCTCAACACGATTAAAACACATTCAATTTTTATTTATAAACGTTTTAATCCTTTTCGTCTCCGTGCATTGAAGTCGACTTGCTTGCAGATATCTATTATAGCAGTAAATGACGTTCCAATCCTTTAACGACTATCTAGCAAAAACCAGACGAAAAACGGGTATCGTGACCAATTGTGCAATCAGGATGCATAACCTTGCACGCGTGATCGCAAATATCTCTTTATTTCTTTTTCTATTTTTATAATTTTTTCTTTTTTTTTTTTTTCTTTTTTTGCAGCACATCGCTCGATGATCTCAGCAAAATTGATTCAAAAGGCTGGAGGGTCGTTCGACCTTGGCAGCGCGCAGGTACATTACGAAAGGTGAGTAATTTTCTTCTTCTAAGGTGTCATTTGCCTGTCTGCAGTCATTCGTTCCAAAGATTTTCTACCGTTTCCTCGATAAAAGATTATGCACCAGAGATTATGTTTGTAACGTTGTTAGAATGCTCTGAGAAGAATCCTGGATTCAAGGGTGCAACTAAAGACATATATTTTGTTTTTTTGTTACTTAGTAACTTTAAATTAACTTCAAGACATTTGTAAGAAATTTTAAAAGAGCGAAGAAAATCTCTCTTCGTCATTTTTGATTTTTAAAAGTTTTTTTCAAAACTTTAAATCTTCATTCCATTGAACAGATTATTTATATTTTAATATATTGAATTGATATTGGCCCTTTTATGTCGACTGATCCTTCTATTCCATTAAAATCTAATATTTCTAATACAACTTCCTGCCAATATCTCAATCAACTAAAGACATGTATTTTGTTTTTTTGTTACTTAGTAACTTCAAATTAACTTCAAATTAACTTCAAAACATTTGTAAGAAATTTTAAAAGAACGAAGAAAATCTCTCTTCATCATTTTTGATTTTTAAAAGTTTTTTTCAAAAATCTTTTAAATCTTCATTCCATTGAGATTATTTATATTTTAATATATTGAATTGATATTGGTCCTTTTATGTCAACTGATCCTTCTATTCCATTAAAATCTAATATTTCTAATACAACTTCCTGCCAATATCTCAATCAACTAAAGACATGTATTTTGTTTTTTTGTTACTTAGTAACTTCAAATTAACTTCAAAACATTTGTAAGAAATTTTAAAAGAGCGAAGAAAATCTCTCTTCATCATTTTTGATTTTTAAAAGTTTTTTTCAAAACTTTATTCCATTGAATAGATTATTTATATTTTAATATATTGAATTGATATTGGCCCTTTTGTGTCGACTGATCCTTTTATTCCATTAAAATCTAATATTTCTAATATTTCAACTTCCTGCCAATATCTCAATTTAAATGACTAACATTCAAAGTAAATATACCAAATTAACAATTCAATCAACGTATTAAAGCTATTTTATAATAGAAGGATAGGCAAGATATGCATTGAAGGGCAAAAAGAGCGTGTTTCCTATTTTTCAAAAGCCCGTTCATAATAGCTAATTAAAATTAAAAAAAAAACAAACAAATAAACAAACAAAAAACTCTGAATGTATAAATTTGAATATACATCAAAAGAAAAAAAAATATTTCTAATATTTCAACTTTCTGCCAATATCTCAATTTAAACTGACTAACATTCAAAGTAGAAATATACCAAATTAACAATTCAATCAAAGCTATTTTATTAAAGCTATTTTATAATAGAAGGATAGGCAAGATATGCATTGAAGGGCAAAAAGAGCATGTTTCCTATTTTTCAAAAGCCCATTCATAATACCTAATTAAAATTAAAAAAAAGAACAAACAAACAAACAAACAAAAAACTCTGAATGTATAAATTTGAATATACATCAAAAAAAAAAAAAAAAAAGTGCAGAATGTCCTCCAGCTCGCATAGTTGCCTGCCCCCACAACCCGTTAGAGAAAAATCCGGTTGCTGATCCGCAGATCACCCCCTAGAACTCGACGGAGTTCGGCGTCGAGCGTCGGTTCGTGCGCGGGCACGATGCAGAATCAGCAATCGGCACACGCGGCCAAAGGCGTTTCCAGCAATCGGTCCCGATCGCCCACGCCCCACCATCTCGGCGGCAATAAGCAGCAACAAACGACGACGAGCGGCGACGAGCAACGAAAGATGAATCGATCGAGAAGCCCAACGCCACAGAGGAAGTTCCTGGGCAGCCCCGTTCACCAGTCAGACTTTGGGAAGCAACGATCGAGATCCCCGACACCGAAGGCTCAACTGAGGTCCAGCAGTCCGACGACCAAATTGGACGGCGCAAAGGGTGGATCTGCGGTGGATTCGGCTGGTAGAAGCCTGTACGAAGAGGCTCGTTCACCGACCCATCATGGAAGGCAGCATCAGGAAGCAAAGGTTGGTAAATGAAGAGATAGAGGTTTGGTAATTTTGAGGTATTATGGGTAGCAAGAGGTTAGGATTATTTATGGATGTGTATCAAGGATTAAGGATTTAACAGATAAGGTCAAAGTTAGAGGATGGGTTAGGTTAAGAGATTGTGAATAGGTGAATAAAGAATTGAAGAGAAATGATTTTGTTGAGAAAAATACTTTCACTTTGTAATTTTTCCTTCGTAGAAGAGATAAATCCATATTATCTTTTTTATTCGGTAAATTCAGAAAATGAACGTTACAACTTTAAAAAACAAGTATTTTATATAATGAACCAATTACGTATCTTTCTCGAGGAATGATAAACTTGTTCCTCGAGAGGTTAATTCAAAAAATTGTCAGAACAGAAACTAGACATTTTTTCCCCCAATTTTCTCCCTAGGATGCGAAGAAGGATCTCCATCAAGAAATCCGCACTAAAGTCCCCCTGACGGAGGAATTCACGAGACGATACGTTGTCGATGGCGGCGTGGCACGGAGGGCAGTGGAGAAAGACGACACGCCGAAATACGAGCCGACGATTTACAATTACAAGTGTCGCGAGGACTCGAGCAGCCGTAGTCCGACCCCTAGTCCACCAGCAATCAAGGAGGAGCCGGTATTGGAGAACTTCAGCAAAGACGTAACGGGGAACGTACATTACACCAAGTCGCCGCACGACGGAGAGCACTCGGATAATTGCAGCGAGGTGTCCGACGAAGGTTATAGAAGCTTAGGAGCAGTCCAGCCGACTAGTGGAAACGGAAATTCCGGGACTTGCACGCAAGGATCGCCCACGGTTGCCGATTGTCAAAGTAAGCAAGATATCCTCGTTTCGTTTCTCCTATTCTCGAGTCGAAAAGTTTCTCGTCGCTCGGTCGCGTTATTTCGCGGGTTGGGATTTATGGGCTGTCAGGGCTGCGTGGGTTGGCACGCCTGTTACGCGAATACCGTGTTGTAATACCGTGTTGGCCGGGTCGAGGTTGCGAATGGAAATTCGTGAATGGCGAAAGTTTTTGGGGGAACGTGTGTTGGTGTTGTTTTCGATTGTTAGAATCGTTTAAGGTTAGGATTTCAACCGGTTTTCAAAGTTGATAATTACTTTGACGGATGATCCCCTGTGATTATTAAAGGAGATTAAAGGAGTTAGTTAAAGGGGATTAGAGTGGTTATGTAAATCGATCCAAATCTTCTTAAAGTATCGTTGAAAACTTTTTTATGAATTCGTGTCATAAGAAATGTCATTAGAAATGAATAAGGTCTTTTCTAATTCTGTTCAGGAGAAAATGACGAAAGTTAAGTGACGTGAATACGTATATCCCTGTAAAGAACATGTAATTAGTATAATAAGATATTCTTCAGTTGTCATATCGTTTGATTTGAAATTTTGTTAAGATCATTATTTATTTATTTTTATTAAAATTTTTCTTAAATAAATAAATAATTATTGATAATTCGTAAAATTAGATTAGAGCATAAAATTCTAATATCTAATTTAGTTTATTCCGTAAAAATTCTTTTCCAATACAAATGACAAACCATTAAATAGAAAGATAAAAGGAAGAATGAGGATATTGGTTAAATAGACTCTTAGCATATAGGCCGTTTCATAACTGTAAGTCGAGTGAAATCGTCGAACGATCGCGATAATCGCATCCCGCTGCGAAGAAAACGCATGATTCTCGTGTGGCTTTTCGATCAAAGCGAGTCATTCAGTTTAATATGAACGTATCAAGGATGAACGAACAAAACGAACTATTGTACAAGTACGTATCCTCTTGCGTTTCAAACTTTCTCGAGCTCTCCATATTTTTCTTATTTCCCTCCTTTCTTCGTTTACTTATTTTCTTTCTTTCTTAATAAAATGATTTACACATTTATCGTTAACATTTTTCTTAAACGTTTCTTTTTAACTTTCCATTTCAAATTTTAACAAACGTAAGTCGATCACTCATTTATTGTATTTAGAGATTCTACAAATTAATAATATTCGTGGAACGAGTGTTTATCTGGTAACTTTATTATCTGAGATTGTCAAGCCTGGTAACAAGAAATTTAATTCGCTATCCCACTCTTTAGATTCTTTTGTACAGTGTACAGAATTGCCTTGTTTTTATCGTGTTTTGTTTCGAACATTCGAAACGTATATATGTTGTATAGTATTTCCTTCAATCAAAAATTTTAATTCGAGAAAAAAATCATCTAAAATATTAAGAAAAAATTATATTAAGAAAAAAATTACAAAATAACTGACTCGTGCATATTCTTTGAATATATCTTTCACTCCTTTTTTTACATCCTTTCACCGCTGAAAAATTTCTTAAATTCAAAAGAAAATATATTAAAAAATAATTTCCTTCGTTTAAACGAAACAATATAGTTACAAAAAAAAAAAAAAAAAAAAGAAAGAAATATAAATCATCGCATACTTTCGTTCGAATTGCTTCTCTTTAGAAAGAAAGAAAAATTAAATTTTCAAACGCAAATAAAGAGAAATAGGCATTGGTGCGCGGAAACCGTTGTCCCGGTTGAACACAGAAAGATGTGGAGTACGTGTCAAGTGCGTGAATCACGGTATTCGAGGCAAAACGTTATCGAGGATCGACCGTTGGCGATTGTTCCGTGGACAGGTTGCTGTTGAAGATCGCCCACGCTACACGCACACAGATATCCCTTTCTTCGCGTAATCCTTCACAGCCGGTTAAATGTCAGGTTGTAAGCGTACACGTGTGTACATGTAGATTGAATATTAATGAGCTACAAGGTGGTCCAAAATGTATTGGACCATGGTGTATAATAAAATACGAAGAGGAGCTCTCGATTACGTTATATTATATACGTTTTATTATGCGTTTTATTTATGTTAGGGGTATGACGTAAGTGGAGCTACCGTGATCCACTTCTAAATAATGATTCGATTTCCTTTTTCGTTTCGACCGTGGGAGGAAGGTGATTTTGAAAAAGGAAGTATCTATGTCTATGGAAGATTGGGAATTGTATTCGAACGATAGTTGGTATTTAAATATTGCAATTTCTAATTAGATTGGAATTTTTTTTTTAAATTTTAACAATCTTATTAAGGACGCGACAATGCGTGAAAAGTAAAGCAATGGAGAATCGCGAAATTTTTGAATTAGAATTGCATAGAAGTACAGTGTTTGAGAGTATTAAATTTTAACTTTAATGCATTTTATTATTAGAAAATATACGAGAATCTTACGTTTTCCTTTGAAAATCAAAGTTATTGTAGTTAAAATTATTTCAATCATTATATTATTGAGCAGGAAAACGCACATTCTTTCGATTTATATTTTCAATTTTCCAAATTGTTAGTCGTTGAATCTATTTTCTATTATAATATATCAATTCAAACTGCTTTCAACGACAACATTTACTTCTCAATTTATTTTTCGAGAGGAATAGTATTATCGAGAAATTATGCCGATTATCTTGGAACACGTCCAGATCGTATAAAATATTTCCCTTGAAATAATATTGTTGTAAAAATTGTTTTTGGCAATGTATTAAAAATGCTTTCCACGACTCTTTTGAATCCTCGCGTTTATTATTATTATCTCTAATTGGTAAACTTCCACTAATAACTTTTTTTTACCCTCTATAAAATCAGAATGTAATCGTTCTCTGCGTAAGAAACGTATACGTCAATGGTTTCATCTGTTATTACTGAAATTGTGCAATACCTACGATTAAAATTGAGCGCCAATGTCGTAAAAGGATATCGCGAAGATAAGAAAGTGGGGAATAAAATTTTCATTTTCAGGAGGAAGCAAGAATTAAAAAGTTAAATTAAATTAGAAAAATTAATTTTTCTTAAAAATCTACAACAAGATAAATTTTCTCTGAATCACTGAATTAAAAAGTATTTAATATTCGAGAAAAATTGACTGTAAAATAATTATGAATGAAATTTTCATTAACGTAATTATTTTTATTATAACATATCAAAATACATATAAAACGAGATTAATTAACAAAAATAGCGCAAAACTTATCCCTTCTTCTTCACTTAGCAGAAAGCAAAGAATGTGACATAAAGAAGTCGGACGCGATAATCTCGATCGATAAATTGGGCCAACATTGCCCACGCAGCGTTCTCGTCGAATCCTAAATCTCGTCGAAACCGAGAGCTCGAGCTCGCATGAATAAACAAACCGGTGACATTTACGCGGGATCGCATGCGGAAGTCATAGTTACGCAATCGCCGATTCATAAACCATTCAATCGAATTACAACGTTAAAAAACGCGAATATTATTAAGAAAATGTGATAATATCCCTTTAAATACCCTCCCTTCCTCTCCCCTTATAAATCAAATAGATGCCTCTGAAACGAAAGATGGACGGTTGATTCATTTCGTTCCATCCCCTGTTGCAGAGCAACCCTCGAAGCCAGAGGCAGAGGAGAGGTCGTGCGTGGAGACGGAGAGCATCGAGACGGGCCTGCGCAAGATCCGGATAGGCCCACCGAGCCCTCTTCGAGCCTCCCCCTCTCGAAGCGTGGCCTCCTCCTCCGGAGACCGTACCCCCCGCGCCAACTCGATCGTCCGTGAAAACAGCAACGTTTCGAGAGGCTCGTCCGGAAGCAGAACGCCCAGGGACAGCAACTCGAGCCCGGAGGGAAGTCCCTTGAAACGTGGCACGATAAGGAACAGTTTACGCAAGCCGCCGACGGGAAGTCTGAGCAAGGCATCGGCGGTGATGGGCGGCAAAAGCTGTCAGGGTCCGGTGAGCGGTAGCAACACGTGGAACGGTAGACAGGCAAGGCAGAGGCCCAGCATCCAATCCGACACTTTCCTCAACCCCCATGGTCCATCGGCCAACAATTGTGCAACGACGACGACGACGACGACGGCAACGACGACGACGACCCCCAACTTCAGCAGGAGGAGCCCGGCCAGGCAGAGCCTGCCCAGGCAAAGTTCGAACGGTGGTGGTGTGCAGTACGACAGGAACGGGAGAAGGATGAAAACCGCTCCAACAGGGTCCCTCCAATCCTCGCCCACCAAGGTGGCCAACCCCCTTCTCGAGCAGATCCTTCAGAAAGTGGGCCATTTGCAGGACGAGCGCGAGGTGGTTCAGAAGCTTCAGGATCTGTTGAGGGATTATCAGGCTCACGGCTCCGGGGAGGGAGTGGCGAACATGGAGTTCACCAGGGCGTGGATCGATGGTAACGGGACCGTGGCGTTGCCCCAGGACAATCAGATGACGGCCAGTCCAAGGAAGGATCCCAAGTCGGTGTCGGAGAGGGGAGGTTTCTCCAGGATACCGGCCCCCGTTTACAAGAGGCCTATGTCCGTCGCGTCCGACAGCGTGTGAAGTATCTCTCGCAGCTGTCGAACAACGTCTAGGGGACGGTGTAGATGATGATGATGATGATGACGAGGATGAGGATGAGGATGATGGCGACGATGATGAAGCTGGTTCGAAGCGTGTCCTCGAGGTCATCGGGCTCCTCGATCGCGGGCCAGGACTCGTGACGCCCTCGATTTAACGAGATGTTTGTGCCGATTGCGACGCGATCGTGGATACGTGGAACTGCGCGCGAGTAGAGATAGAAGAAGGGCGATCCGAGGGTGTTTCAAGTTGGAGTGTGGGGATTAAGATGGTTTCGTTTTTTTTTTTTTTTTTTTTTTTAAATGTTCGAGGTTATTTTCATGGGTAATGTTCGGCTTGGAAAAGCCTGTTTCGATACGCGACTCGAGAAAAGAAGAGTTATCATTTTCTCGTTATTACTTTATCCACGGACGGACGATCTCTGTCGATGGAAAATTTAATCTTATCTTAAGACGCTAAACTCACGGTTATTATATTTTTCTATCTTTTCTAAGATAGATTACTTGGCTTTCGAAGCGATATTACCTATGGGGATAACCCGATAGTTTTGGGAAAAACTATGTGTATTTTTGATGGTGCTTGGAAGATTTCTTTTCTCTTAAAACTATCTCCGATGTATATAACAACACTGTGATTGAAAATTTTGTTCTCATCTAAGGAGGAATAGAAATCATCTTATTTTTTTTTCTCTCTTTCTTTCTTTCTTTCTTTCTTTCTTTCTTTCTTTCGCGAATTTCGTAAAAATTCTCGGACGTTTTTTCTTAAAAAAAAGAAAGAAAAGAGCAACGGTTCCACATTTCCGCGCGATGGCGGATCGAAGGCGTCCGATTAGAGGCGAAGCTTAACGGGCCTTAACGGTACGAGGTCGATCGGTTAGCTCGTAGGAGTCGCGTGTATATCGGGGTGGTGCTCGGATGGTGCTGAACGTGAGATGACGTTCGTGATGCAAATAAGATTATAAGATGACCGAAAAAAGAAAAAAAAAGAAAAAAAAAGGAAAAAAACAAAAATAAAAAAAAATTAACAAAAGGGAAAAGAGGGAAAAAGAAAAACGTGGAGAGAAGGAGGACAAAGGAGGCGAGAAGAGGACAACGAGAGAGATAGGTAGGTATAGGTAGGTAGATAAGTGGAAAAATTCGTCTCGTCGACGATTAACAACAATTTCGATCGATGAACAGAGAGCGGGTTTCGAGCGAGCAATTAGCCTGGTGTGCGTTAATGGCTTCCCGATCGATTTGCTTCCAGTCAATTGCATCCCCGGCTGACGGCTCGTCGATTGATCCAAGACGAGAGATTACACCTTGGTCACAAACGACAAGCGATCTCTCTTCTTTGTCGTGATATTTCCCCCCCTCTCCTCTCTCTCTCTCTCTCTCTTTTTTTCTCGTACATTGTAATCGATAACTCGTCGTTTTTTCTTTTTCTTTTCTTTTTTTTCTTTTTTTATTGGATTCTTTTATCGCGACGAAACGAAATAATTTAGGATTCCGTGACTCGAGAAATATTGGAAAAGGTTTAAAGAAGATTACGAGAGAAGAGGAGAACGAAAATACGACGAATCGTTCGAAATGTAAACTTAAAAAGAAAAAGAAAGAAAAAAAAAAAAGGGAAGAACTAATCGATAATGAGTTATGTCACGACAAAATGGAACAATCGCGATCAATGATCTTGTGATCATTTTTCTCAGCTTAACGCATATCGACGAGTGTAAATCTCGATTTCTCGACGATTCATTGAGAAGAGATCTCGGCCAGAATTTCTACGTTCGATCGTTCACCACGGCCGTGCGAGGCCGTGCGAAAAAATTATTTATTTATATAGTCTATCGGTTGTATTTATTGAAGACGGTTTATTTGCGCGTTGCAAGTTCGCTTGAGGGAGTACAGGATAAACGAAGACGAAGAATAGAAAAAAAGAGGCGGTGCGGAAGTGGTGAGAAGGATTTGTTTCGCAGGAAAAATCAAATTAACCCCACCCCCCCCAAAAAAAAAAAAAAGAAAAAAGAACAGACTGCATCGATGTAGATAGCGACGATATAGTTGAACGAAACGCCATTCCAATGTTTCACTGTTTTTTATACCAAGCGCGAGCGTAGCGGCATTTTGTATCAAGTGTCTTGAGGGGAGGATGGAATTCGTGCGGGACGTGTTCTTGGTTTCGTTAGAAGATAGAAAAATGATAATCTACCAGGGGGGAAGGGGAATATTTTGCATAGAAATCGTAGATAGTAAGTAAGGTGCAAAATTAATGAAATTAATGTAATTAAGTTTTACGTATTGCTCAATAAAATAGCGAGTGAGGTTTGAGCGAAGAGGAGGAGGACACTTGATGCGAATTCAAATGGAAGATGGTCGAAGTAATTTGGATTACGTTCAATTTTTCAATAAGAAAAACTCATTTTGCGAGGAGAGAATGAAGGTAGAATTGATTCAAGAATTTTTGTGGACTTTTTTTTAAATCTCAAAAATATTTGCAAGCCTTTTAAATAATTTTCAATATTTGTAATAATATAGAATACAGGAAGAATGTACAGGTGGAATGAATATATATATATAGCGAGAAATTATCGATAAACTTTAATATCCAGCTGTCAAATGAATCAAAATCATAAAAATAGTTAAAAATATCGTAATAAGGGAAATAGTATTTCGAAAAATATTTTTGAAGCGAGACGCGCGAATGAAACGCAACAAATTCAAGATGGAGGAGGCGATGAATGTGTCGATCGAATATTTTTTTATAATTATCTAGTGAAATTGTGTCCATACATCGGCCTAAAATCGGCCTCTCGATATTTATCGAAGTTTCTTCGAACGAGTACGTCCCGCCACGGAAACCACGACACCCCATTGATTACGAATTAAGAAGTACACTTCCGGTAGGGAAGCAGAGAAGAAGTTTATTTTGTTGACCAGATGTTCGAGTAGAGATTGTAACACGAAATAATACTCGAAAAAGAAAAGAAAAGAAAAGAAAAGAAAAGAAAAAAAAAAGAATAAGAATAATGGAATTATTTTTTAGTGAAACGCGTTAGGTGCAATTTTCCGGAAATTGCTGTGGTCTCTGTAATGTTCGAACGATGCGTGGATTATTTTTCTTATTATTATTATTATTATTTTTTTTTTTTTTTTAACTATTTTCTATATCGAAAATAAGAGAATCGAAATTAATTTGTACAGAATGTTTCACATATACCGAATTATATCTTATAATTGTATATATAATTATTTTTAATTATATATGAAAAGAGGTTTTTTCTTTACATTTTCAATTAATTTATGATATTATAAAATTTTTACTCCCTCCTAGTATAATTTTACTTTATAAAAATTTTTTTTTACAGATACAAAAAGATACAAAAAAATAAAAAAATGTATATAAAAAGATTATTCGTCCAAAAAAAAAAAAATACCAATATTTCCCGTCCAAAAGTTCTCGATAAACTCGAATTCGACAAAACGCTATTTCCTTGATCGAGGAACGTCCGAACTATTCATCGTACAAAATATTTGAAAGAAGAAGAAGAAAAAGAAAAACAGAGACCACAGTTCGTTCCGGAAGATATATTAAAAAAATTGCTCGTAGATTTTCAAGTCTCGAATGTGGGGGTAAAACTCTTTCGTGTTTTTAAGCCTAAGCTTCATAACCCCAAGCAGCTGCGGTTTTGACCGCGATGATGAAAATAAAAAAAGGGAAAAAAAAAAAAAAAAAAAAACAATAACGATGATTACAAATATTAATATTATTGCAAGAACTGCAAACTATCGCTATTATTCTGATTAAGAATGATTATTATTATTATTGCGATGATTATTATTATTATTACGATTATTATTATCATCATTGCGAATGAAGATGATGATTGATTATTATGATTATTATATGCAACGTTGAGTATGTTACGTTATATCATTTTATCTACGAGAAGTTGTAAATTGAAAATTTGCATAAAAAAAAAAAAAAAAATAAAAAAATAAAAAGCTTTAACGAAAACATCGTTAAGATTCTTTCTTCAAGTAGAAACGAATCCTCGACTCGAAATCCATAAATCCAATACAATCCATAAAATTAAATCATTCCAGAATAATAATTATTTTTCGAGATATATTTTAATTAAGTATTTATAAAGTCAAACTTTACAAAAAAAAAAAAAAAAAAAAGAAAAAAAATACTTTATACGAAATACCAATATTTCTAACCAACCTAACCTAACCTAAATTAGGATCCAAGATTCCTAATTCCTTGGATCGATTATTGAATACAATAATAAATAGTGATCCAGATGTAAAATAATCCAGAACACATTCAACCATCATTTACCATCCTTGGAACTTAGTACTTTCCACCTCCAATTCCAAAGGAGTCTAAGCGCAGGTAAACCTAACCTAACCTAACCTAAATTAGCCAAGAGCAATTCCCAATTCCTTGGACCGAATATTGAATACAATAATAAATAGTGATCCAGATGTAAAATAATCCAGAACACATTCAACCATCATTTACCATCCTTGGAACTTAGTACTTTCCACCTCCAATTCCAAAGGAGTCTAAGCGCAGGTAAACGTGCGCGTAAGGCCCATTACGAGGCCCAATACACCGCAGTCATCGGCGTCCTTGCCGCATATGGCGAGACAGCTCTCGTTCTCGGACAGCAGCAGCCACCAACAATGGTCCACGACGTGGGTCTGTGCACGTGTCTATACGTGAGTCAGCACGCGGCTCCCTCTGTGTGTCTGGACCTGTCGGCTCTATGCACTGTATAATACAAGAGGATCTCGGAAGGGAGGCATTTTTAAAATGTCCGGCCGAGAGATTTATGACGGACCATGGTAGCCTCGATAATTCCATCGTGTACGCTGAAAATAATGGAGACGATTAGCAAACGTTTTGCGAGACATTGACGGTATATTTTTCTTCGGATTGGTATCTATATCGGTTAAGTAATTTGAAGTAATTTGGGGAATCTTAAAGAGTCGAGTATTGGAATATAGGGAATTTTAAATTTGAGATATGAAAAATACATAGAACATAGGAAAATTTGGGATAATCTTGATTTTAAAGTAAACTAGCTTTGAGATATTGGATATGGGAGATCTTTTATCTTGGAATATTAAAATATAAGTATATATAGTAGTAGTAATATAAGTATATATATATAAGTATAAAAAAGTATTGAGACATTTTAAGTAACTCTAAAGTATTACGATATAGGGAAATTTTAATTTTAACGTAATGAGATGAAGAAAAATTTAAACTTGGAGGAATTGGAAAATCAGAATCGATGCAATTTCGAAATAATTAAAAAAAGAAAAAAGAATTTGAAAGTAGAAACGTTCTAAATACCGTAACTAAATAATTAGATTCCAGAAGGTACTAATAATCGTTTTCCATTAATAAATAGCCACTATATACCGGCAATTATCTTACATGCGTAAAAAAGAAAAAGGCATCGTGAAAACACATTATATCTCATTCAAACTCGTCGTTTATTACGTGGTATTGCGACAAACGATATAATTTAGTTCATGCCAGTTGGTTCATACCCGCAACGACAAATTGTTTACCGGCCGTACTCGTAATTGCCGATGCAAAGTAACCGCGTAAAAGTAATGGCGGCAATTAGAAAATCCACTTAAGTCGATCTAATGATTCTCATTTAACACGTCGAACGATATCTATGTACGGTACGTCGTGGTTCATTATGTATTCGGTTTGGTATTCCTCGGGATCTCATGGAAATTGCAGCATACGTTCTCTGTACACAAATCTTAATGCGTACATGTATTTTCCAGATTCCTGAGAACGGTTGCTTGTTTAATTTATCATCGCGCAATCACGCAACGAACTAATATATCGATAGTTTAAATAGTTGATTAATCTATCCTCGATGGATATTCTTTTTACCTCGAAAGTTAATCAAATCGAAGCTAGTTAAAATCATTTTATAAAATTAAACGAACTACTGTTAACACACATTTTGCTACTTTGTTTTACCTTCAAGTTTATACTTTCAACTTTGACTCTCTTTTAAATATTTTTAAAAATTATTTTTCTATTACGAGATGTTTTAACTTTTATTAATTCACGAGATAATTGTTAAATTTTCTTCGAAATTCCTAATAAAAAAATTTCTCGAAGTCAACTCGTACGAACAAATATAAAGTCAAGTTTGATTAACCTATATAAGATTTAAAAAAAAAAAAAAAAAAGAAAAAAGACACGTTTTAAGATGGCCGTGTGATAAATGCTCGGTAGCATTCGTTTCGCAATTGAATTTATTTTCAGCGCGAGTAAAACTCGACACCCCTCTTCTTTCTCTCTCTCTCTCTCTCTCTCGTGAATTTTCATATATGAAAATCGTCGAGGCGAATTCGGCCAGTTGTAAGCGAGTGTCGTCGACGCTCTCGACAGCGTGGGAGGACTTTCACCTCTCGACCGAAACGCGTTCATTACACGAAATAAAAACGTAATACGTTGGCCATCGTTAAAATTCCGAACGTTGACAAATCGACGCGAGCGCCGCCATCAAAAAGTTTTACAAGTTTTCCTTCGTTGTGGCATTGATCAACGTTACGCGTTCTATATTGTGCCACTCTGTGGTCAATTTATATTTCAACGAAAAATTATTATTATTAGAAGGATCCATCTATCAAATAATGCAATTCGATTTTATTTTATTTTATTACGAATCGAAAGGAATTTTTCATTTTTAATCGATGGTTTCTTTTTTTTTTTTTTCTTTTATTATCGATGACAGAAAAGATATAAAATATCGTGCGCGTATTGATAGTAAGTTAAAATTCCGAACGTTGACAAATCGACGCGAGCGCCGCCATTAAAAAGTTTTACAAGTTTTTTCTTCGTTGTGGCATTGATCAACGTTATGTGTTCTATATTGTGTCACTCTGTGGTCAATTTATATTTCAACGAAAAATTATTATTATTAGAAGGATCCATCTATCAAATAATGCAATTCGATTT